AAGCTATCCAATAAAAATGAAATAATAAGTACTCTACAAAAAACTCTCGATAATTTATCAGTGAATAAACAACTGTTTCATACACAGACGCAAACCGATATAACTGAAGCTGGTATAAAATTCATGGAGGATAAAGTAGCAGATGTAAAGAAGAGAAACGGAGAATTGAATCAAGAAATCAGCAGACAAATTGAACAAATTGAGCAATTCAATCAGATAATGGAACTTAATCAAGGAATAAATGTAAAAACATTAAATATTGAAAGTGCCTTGGATGTTGATAACGTATCCATAAAACCAAAAGGACAAAGGAGCGGAGAAAAACATGTTGCAGAAGAATACTCTAGAGAAGTTTCAAATAATGATGACGGAATGCATGACAACAGTTTGTTGGAACGGGAGCCAATTCTACTTGAAGCAGTTACAGAAAATATAAGCTTAGTTAATGCCAGTGAAGTTTTGCCCGTGCATGCTAGTGAAATCCATAAAGCAGATAAGAAACGCAAAGTACTAATTATCGGTGATGAGTTTGCGAAAAGTGGTTCCATAGTGTTGCATTCAATGTTCTCTAATCGAGACATAATTATAGGTGTAGTGAAGCCTGGCTTAGGGTTTTCGGAGTTAGCTAAGTCATTGTTCCACTACTCGCAACAGTATGGTAAACATGACCTTATCATTGTTATGGTGAACTCTATGAATATATCCAACTTTAAGCAATTAAATTTTGCTTTGAGGCATTTGCTTCCACTTAGTAAGCTAACTAATTTATTTATCATGACGCATCGCAGTCATGTTGAGGATTTTAGGGTAGAAAACTACTTAAGTAGGGCAGAAGCCAGATTCATAAATACGAATACCAATATATCACTCAAATTTAAGACTAACGTGTCTAACCCGATAGCGGTACTCAAAATGGTAGCAAATGAATTTATGAAGTACACTAATCACACAAATATAGTATTGAGAGTTATTGATACAAACCCCCTCATCAAAGTGCAAGCTTTTTCTTTGATAGAGCGCCAAATAATCAATGTAGTGGACAATTCAATGAAGATGGTTGTATTTTTAATAGAAATAACTCAAATAGTTTAAAAATAATTCATCAAAATGTGCAATGCCTTAGTAACAAACTACTTGAGCTTGAAGTGTTTCTAAATGAAAACAACTGTGATATATTTTGTGTTTCTGAGCACTGGGCAAATTCTGACCAAATTATGTCTTTATATACTAAGTGACATATAAATCCGAACACCCAGTTTAAATGGTTTTATTTTAATAAAATTTTGTATAAGTACTTAATGAAGCATAATAAGTAAATGATAAAAATTTCAAAATGATTGCACTGCTTTTAAGCCCTTTGACCTTTAATAATGTGTGGATGCACCCTGATGTGCTACGCATTCTCCAACGCGCCTAGGCATGCTTCTGATCAGGTGATCAATATCCTCCTGTGGTATCTCATTCCAGGCAACCACCAACTCCTCTCGAAGTGCTTCTAGAGTCCGAGGAGGACGTTGCAAATTGAGCAATCTCCTACCCAGCATATCCCACACGTGCTCAATTGGGGATAAGTCGGGAGATCTTGGTGGCCATGGTAACAATGTGACATCATTATGTTGAAAGAAGTCTATTGTGACTCTTGCAACATGTGGTCGGGCATTATCTTGTTGGAAAGTTGGATCTGCCAGGGTGTCAAGATAGGGGTCAAGATGGGGTTCTAGAACTTCGTGGATATAACGCTGCGCGTTCATGTTACCACTGATGAAGATTAAAGGTGACCTGGAACCATAAGCTATAGCACCCCAAACCATAACTCCAACAGTGTGATGAACATGTCTTTCAACAAAAAACTGTGGATTCCTCCTTTCACCACGTCGCCTCCTAACCCTGACACGACCATCGTGCATGCCTAAACAAAATCGAGACTCGTCACTAAAGACAATACTGTTCCATTCCTGATCCCAGAGTGACCGTTGTCTGTACCAATCAAGGCGATTACGTCGGTGTTCTCGAGTTAAAGGGAGGACCCAGTGTGGCCGGTATGAAAACAAGCCAAAACTTCTCATTCGTCGGTAAACACTTCGCATGCCAATAGGTCTTCCGTGTTCTGCAAACCATTCATTTGCAATGGACCTGGTAGTGAAGAAACGGTCCCTTAAGGCCAATAATCTTAGGCGGCGATCTTCACGGTCTGTTGTTCTACGGCGGCGTCCAGTGCCCCTTGCTCTTTGCGTACGGCCTTCTCGAAGCCATGCCTGACAACACGGCCCCTATCAAACTCACTAAGTTGACGAAATCGTACAGGTCTCCGTACTCTAGGCATCGTAACCGATCGTAAAGGATGACAAGAACCAAAATCTGCCAACGTTGATTCTTTACTGCGGCTGAAATATTCATTTTTAGAGCATTAGTGAATTAAAAGAAAGCAGTATAAAAACCGGAATGTCCAACTGATAAGGCTGAAAATTTTTTCACTTCTTATTTACAGTAAGATAAATACATTCACCAACTTTTATTAAAATAAAACCATTTAAACTGGGTGTTCGGATTTATATGTTACTTAGTATATATACACGAGTACATTTTAGCAACTTCATACTGTAGAAAGCTTTTTCATCATGGCGGGACATGTACATACCTCAAAGCAGGACTAGAATACAATAATCTAGAATATTTGAATGATATTTCAGTTGATAAGCATTTCGAATGTAGTGGAATTCAAGTTATAACGGAAAACGTCAATTCGGTTATTGTTTCTCTGTATAGAAGTCCTGATGCCGATTTTAAAATTTTTTTAGAAAAACTTGAAGAGAAGATATTTCAAACATTAAATGTAAAAAATGTGGTATTGTCCTTTGTGGAAATTTTAACATAAATTTTAACAAAAACTCTTTAGATTTAAATGGTCTGTTGGATGTTTTAAGCTCATATTCACTGAAGCCTGTTATCAAACTACCTACGCGAGGATCTAATTGCATAGACAATATTTGTGTAGGGGTGGATGTAAAGTGTGATACTGCTGTAGTACACAATAATGTTAGCGATCATTTTGCTCAATTATTAACTCTATACTATCAAAAAGATGAACAGCCACCTCAGATTTCCTACCAGTACCAAGACCTGTATAATAAATCCAACATCAACAATTTTTTAGCTCTCCTAGGTCAAGAAAGCTGGGACCACATTTATCATTCCACTGGGGATATTAATGAGAAGTTTGATTTATTCCTACAATCGTTTCAGTATTACGTTGACATAGCATTCCCAGCTATAACCAAAACCGTAAAAGCAGGGGCCAGAAAACGATGGATTACAAAAGGTATCATAATATCAAGAGATGAGCTTCACTATCTGTATAATTTGTCTAAGACGGGAGATGTATTTCTTATAGAGTTCTATAAAAAATATAAAAAGGTATATGCCAGAGTTTTAAGAGCAGCTAAGCGACTATATTACAACAAAATGATACTAAATGCAAAAAATAAAACAAAAAGTGCTTGGAATGTAATAAACGAAAACAGAAACACACCTAAGAACGAAATCATCAACTTAGAAAATAAAATAATAACCAAACCAAAAGAGATTGCCGAAAAATTTATGCAGCATTTTAATGATATTTCAGGCTCCTATGAACGTAATGGAACAGGAAATAATGGAAATAATATAGATAGAAACAGTCACTCTTTCTATTTTCAACCCGCTGTAAGTTGTGACATAATATCAATAATAAATAACCTTAAAAACTCCAACTCTACTAGCGCAGATAAAATTAGTGCTAATATTTTAAAAGTGTCATCTAGTTTCCTTAGCCAACCTCTAGCATTTCTAATTAATTGTTCCATTGAGGAGGGGACATTTCCAGATAAATTTAAAGTTGCAAAAATTAAGCCCTTGTTCAAGTCTGGTGATAACCACGACATCTGTAATTTTAGGCCAATCTCCCTAATCAGTCCCTTTGCGAAAGTATTTGAGAAATATGCTTCCTTACAAATTGTCAATTTTTTTGACAGTTTCAAATTATTCAATAGCATACAGTTTGGATTCAGAAAAGGTTTGTCAACCAAAAACGCTGTGCTTCATTTTCTTGATGAACTGTACGTATATTTGCAAATGGACAATGGCGAAAAGTGTGTAGGAATATTTCTTGACTTGAGTAAAGCTTTTGACTTAGTTGCTCATGTAATACTTTTGGATAAATTAGATAGATATGGAATCAGAGGTAAGCCATTTGACTGGTTTCACAGTTATCTAAGCAACAGAAAACATTATGTTGAAGTACTGACTGCACAGTCTGACCAGCACCTATATCATACAGGGGTTCCACAGGGTTCCATACTTGGTCCTCTCTCCTATACATAATATATGTCAATGACTTTCCCGCCAAATCCTCGGTAATGTATGCTGATGATACCTCATTACTTATTAATGGCAAAAACCTGGAGTTAGTAATAAGAAATGCCAACACAAGCTTAGCTAGTGCAGAGCAATGGTTCATTAATAACGGCCTGGTCTTAAACTACAAGAAGACAGTGTTCCTGAGATTTAACTACTCTAACATGCACATGGATCGTAGTCTCCTTATAAAATCAAGCGGTAGATCCATGGAACAAGCAGAAACTATAAAATTTTTAGGAATACACATATCGCAAAACTGCAAATGGGATACGCATATAGAGAAAGTTAGTCAAAAGATTACCTCTCTTTGCTATTGCATGTACCAGCTGAGTTTTATCGTTGATAAGTGGATATTGTTAATGTTTTACCATGCACATTTCCATTCTACTCTGACTTATGGAATAGAAGCATGGGGAGCATCCTCCAAGTTACAAAGGCTTCTTATATTACAAAAAAGAGCTATTAGAACTATTGAAAAGGTGGGAAGGCGCTTTAGTTGCAGGGAATTATTCACAGATTTGAAGATTTTGACACTGCCTTCAGTATATATATTGAATATATTGATTTACGTCAAAACTCACCTGAACAATTTTAGTTCTATAAATTTTGGAATTTATAATACCAGAAACAGAGAAGTATTGGAGGTGCCGGCACATAGATTGTCTAGAACGGAGGAGAGTGCCAAATACATGGGAATAAAACTCTTCAACAAACTACCCATTGATTGTAAATCACTACCGCTGATATTATTTAAAAAAAGAATCAGGCAAATTTTACTTGATAAAGCTTTCTACTCTATAGAAGAGTTTTTAATGAGTGATAGTCTTTTTTAATTATTTTAATTTGTTAATTTATATTTTAATTCGTTTTCATGTTTATACACTTCGTGTTTTTATTTGATGTTTCGAATGTTATTTATGTATGTAGCCAATTCGGTTTGTACAAATATTCAATATCACTTTGTGATCCACAGGATGAATAAATTATTATTATTATTATTATTATCATCATCATCATCAAGAAGGCCGATGACTTCATTATGTATAGCCCTTAACTGTTCATACTGATCATCTAGTGATTCAAAATACGACTTGAATGTTAATTTGAGAGTATCGTCAGTTTTCGCTTTTATTCCCAGATTGTACGCCTCTGTAATTCATGAGATTGCTATTTTGCCTTTTCAAAGGCATGATTCTGAATATTTAGAATAACACTTACTGTTTATTTTGATTGAAAATTGATAAAAAAGATTTGGTTACTATACAAATATCCTGGACCGTGTTTACTCCAAAAGTGTACAGGTTCACAAAAGGCACTAACAACACAACTCGGTTTCATGTATTTGAATATACTAATGTGGATGTTCAACTACAATCTTCTCGAATTTTACCTGCTGACAACACAATTTTCCTTTTTATTCGGACGTGTTTTTGCTTACACCCTTTTTTGGGTTATTTACATGAAATAATGGTTCTACGACTGAGCTACGAATTGAAAGGAAGCAAAACTGTGAGAGGGAACATACAAGATGGCGGCAATAATTACTTAATCCTTAATTATATTTTCGTGGAAAATTTCGAAAATTAGCCGAAAAATCCGGGCTCGAATGGCCAAAAAGTGTTATTGCAAAGATGATTCTAAATTGTAGAGAGCCGCGGGACTGTAAGCGCGTTCCGATATAATTAAGGTAATAAGGTAATCGACACCCGAGCCATACAAAGACAATGTAGGATTGGCACGTACCTGGGTGTTCCTGTCGCCTGGTCTGGAGGAGCTCCTCTCTTTTCACATCTTCTTCTTAGGTTCACCACACTTGCCTTAGCGAATATAATGTACCCGGTTTAACTAGGATTCTTTTGTCGAGGTTCTGAAGACGACCGTTGCCTTTTCCGATCTTTACGAGATTGACTTCACGAAATCTTCTTCTTCTTGTGCGCATGTTTGACTTGTATGCGCACGTGCCAAAGGGTTTGAATTTGTATGGCTTTTGAGTTCAAATAATAAAGTATGTTTTAGCACTTGCATGTACAATGTTTATTTTTTCCTGTTTTCACCGCTAGCTCCATCACCACTGAACCGATTTTCAAAACTACGAAGCTTGTTCGTCCTTGGCATAGTAGTAATATTGTGTGAAAAGTATACCAAAGTCGGAGCGGTACTTTCCAAAATATATAGGGGTCAAGGAATCGCGGGCAGGCAGGCAGACAGACAGACAGACAGACCGACGGAAGTGAGTGACATGATTTTTCGTGATCAACATGCCATGTACCTACCATACATAAAATATGATATCTTAATATTGACATTTTTCGTGAATACTATATTTTCGGCGCCAGTTCATAGGCTCATTTCAAAACCAGATAGTTAATATCGACTGATCCAAATAGAACTAATTTCTTGGATAGTAAGTGGAAACAATGTCTGGGAAGCTTTGCAGTGGTTGTGGCTATATATTTAGGTGTAATTTTTGCCCCTGGAACCTTTGGAAACGAAATTTGCTCCCAAATGTATCCAAATTTTCATATCGATAGGTTGCCCCTAGGGGCACCTAAGTACGTGTTTTTTTTTCTAAAATACTTTTTACGGGCTCCTTGTCATGTGAGAGAATAATATAAGTCACAATAGTTTGGACTTGAGATGGCAGAGCAGAACATCTGGGCAATCCCAATGACAAACTGTATTTTTGTCAAGCAGGACAAAAAACATGGTTACGTTTAGATGTTGAAGTAGTAGTTCTCGCGTTTCAGTTGAAAAACAATGAAGTTGCAATATTTTAGTCGAAGATTGCATAACAATTAACCGCTGTGTTGCGACAACATTTCTGGGTGGTTTTTCGCGTGTTTTTTTTTTTTTGATGACCGCGCAGTCTCAGCATGTTGCGGGACTTTCAGACTATTCTAGTAACACACTGAATATGAATGTGAAAATGAAAAGAATCCGATTTGTCACCTGTTAGGCAGATAAATCAAAAATATGTATTGCACTGAAGAAGATCAACTTTTTGATTGAAACGTTTACCACAGAAAAGAAGATCTCTCAATATATGCATTGGCCAGACAAGCATGGGTACAGTCTACATATAAACCACAGGATAAGTTTCAGATGTTACATTAAGAAGGTATTATTTTGACAACGGAAGTGAATAGACAAAAAACGTAAAAAATTTAAGAAAACCAGCGAAAAGGCAGTTAATTTTTTCGCAATTTTCCTGGCAACAAATCACAATTTTGGCAATGAAACCTAGAAGATGCAGAAAGAACATACATAGATTGAGCTTTTAGTTAGCCACGTTATGATATCCTACTCTAAAAATACCTAAGATTGGAAAAATCGGTGACAATGCGGTTTCTCCGGTTTTTGGCAATTTTCCGGAAAACAATTCATGATTTTGTTAGTGAATCTGTAAAGTAAGCCGAAAGGCACTGATATACAGTGGATTTTTCCAAATTTTTATTACTTAATCAAAAACCTGAAAAATAAATTCAAATAATCACGGTTATGTACGACGCAACAATCTCGCGGTGGTTATTTTTCAAAATTATGAGCAAAATTGCGCACAAAAAAATGATCTTCAAAAAAACAAGTTTTTGGGGTTAGGTGATCTATCGATCTGAGAATTTGGCTAAGATGATTTGACATATCCTTTGACTTTGTTTGGATAGCTCTAGATTGGGATACCTTTCATATAATATGTAGTTTCGCCCATAATCAACTTATTCCCAACCTATGTCGTAACTGTATATAAAAATTACTAAGTGATCTATTTCCTTTGTCACTGAGAATTGGTGTAACACGTTTTTTTCGATCATAGGAATAAACATACAATGAGGGGTGGTTAACACAACTTGCTTCTCTGTGCATGGTAAGTAAATTGAAGCTTGTAATACTCAAATTTCTAAGCAATCAGATTCCTCTAGATGTATGGATTATTAGAAGCAGTTCCGTGTAAATCCATATTAAACTATTGCTTTTATTCCTACTATTATTGTTTGGTTATTTGCAAGAAATTGTATCATGTAGGTTGACTTTCTACTCACTACGTATCCATGTAAGTCTATCTTCAAGCACATATGTATAATTTGGAATCTATCAATACGCAAATGCCCTTTGAGTATCATTATCAAGATGACTAATACAAAAAGTGCACTATCAAATTTCACTCGAAAACTTTTTGACTATGCCTAAAGCGATTAGACACTTAAAACATAGTGGGCTATGTGGAAGAGCAGCTGCCAAGCTGAACTTCGCCCAACTAAATAAAGGCCATTATTATTACTATGTTTGTTATTATTATTATTATTATTATTATTATTATTATTATTATTATTATATCATCAGACACGGCAGCGCCCAGTGAAGCACCGCCGCAGTATGAACAGAACAAATTTAAATGTACTAATATAAATAATTGAGATATACGCTCCTCCACCCTCTACCACCCCCTAATTTTTCACCCCTGAAAATTCAGGACCCTCTGAAACGTCAAAAAACAAAGTTTGAACAATTTATATTTTTTCGTTTTTGGCCTTTTTCTCCGCCGCCACCGGACCGACTTCCAGAAACTATCAAGCATTTCCGTCCTTAGAGTATAGTAATCCTGTGTAAGAATTTTATCCAAATCTGAGCAGTACTTTCCAAATTATAGACGGGCCAAGGATTAGGGGACAGTCAGACCGATAGACAGACTGACGGAAATAAATGACGTTTCTCCTGTCATATAAGGTCCAAAAAACATAACATCTCATTCTCAAAAATTTCCGCAATTACAATACTTTCTCTCCCAGTGGCGTAGCAAGTAAAAACTGATACTGTGAAACAGACGTTGTTCGTGTAATTCCGGTTTTATACTATCTAAAAGTTTTTTTATGTGTATCAAATATTAAGATAATTGTCTCAGTTATGCAAATGAGGATCGAGTCAATGGTTGTGTTAGGCGGCAAGAACTTTTTGCACCGAAACACCCGTGCAGGCAGAAGCCTAAATACCAGGGCACCGCGGCAGCTCTGAGGAGCTCAAAGAAACTTTGTTAATCCGATTTTTAAACTACCTAAGGTTAGTGGAACTGGGAAAGTCCTCCTCATGTAGATTGTTCCACAATCTTGATAAACTAGCGACAAGGGAGCGGTCGTATCGGCCAGTTCTGGGTGTTAGAATTTCGACACGGTTATAATGGGAGGCCTAAGTCAGGCGGATCTGCTTGGCAGGCACATCGCGCGGCATGGAGGAGAGCTCTGAGGAGCAAAGACCGTTAGAGTAGCGGTAGAAGAGAGCTAGATCGCCGACGGCCCGCTGGTGTGAAAGGTATTCGAGATTGTCCATTAGAGAAGAGACATCGATCGGTTGGACAGCCCTTCTCTGAATAGCATCGAGCTTGGATAATGTAGTCGGGACGGCCGCACCACAAGCATGTGAGCAGTACTCGATGCTAGGTCTTCCGCTCTCTGGGCATTGTACAGCGTGAGGAAGTCATGTGGAGCAAAGTACTTCTTAGCCCTAAACCAATAATCTAGCTTTTTCCCAGCATCTGTGAGATGTGTTCGTGGCAGATCAAGTCCTCCGTGAGCTGGACTCCAATCAGCCGAAATGAACTCGGCTATCCATGGAAACCAGATGAGTGTTAGGCTTGATCGTCAAGGTTCAGTACTGTATTTTGGAAGCAATAAACTGTACAAGATTGTTGCGTCCCCAAGCAGTGAAATCTTCTAGGTCCCTCGTCAGAGAGGAAGTAGCTGCTAGTACTCGAATTCTTTTCTCCAACTCACCGGCTGAGATCGGCCTGAAATTCTGAATGCCTGCAGGTAGAGTGCTGTCATCGTCAAAGCTGCGGATTGGATTGATCTTACAGGAAAAGAGGTCGTTGATATGCAAGAAGAACAATATCGGAGCCTGGGGAACACCTGTATTGACGTTCTGGGATTAAGAGGAGAACGCGTCAATTACTATGAGTGCCTTGCGGCCAGAGAGAATGTCAACCACCCATCTGAGAGGCCATAGGCTGGAAGTTAAATAAGTAAGTTCTGACAAAGCGGATAAGGCTTGTACACTGTATACACCCTTAACCTTACGTTTGTGGTTTGTGAATTTAAAATATTGGTATTTTGGTGGATATGGCACGCGTATATGAGAAGAAAATAAATCAAGGAGCCTGGAACTGTTTTTGGAATGGCACATTCGAGTACCTACCGTCAACATCACATGACATGTTTTGTAATGAACGTGTATTTCGTATTATCCGCATTATTTGAGAGAGAAGAAATGTTCTAAACTACGTGTATTATTCTTAAAATACCTATCTACCTTCAAGGAACCATTTATCAGTGAAAACAAAAAACATTCAACAAACAAATGTGTCTTTGAATTGAAGTTTT